TAACAAAATAAAGTTTTCCAAAATTTGGATGTTTCACTGAAACTTCAAGTCATTATTTAACATATACCTAACCAATCTCCTATGTACATATTCTATAACATTTTGCATTTTATGTTGTATTACAAGCAAATATATATAATTTCGTCCAATATATTTTTTTTACCCAAAATTCAGTGACATTTTAGCAAAACCTTAGAATTTCCTTTGAAATTGTTTATTCTAGAAAATTCTTCCATAAGAGTTGATAACTAAAAAATTCTCCATCTTGTACCAAGTGATTAATCAAAATTCCTCACACTAGTATTGTCAAATATCTATCTTCATCCTATGATGTGCTGATAAAATCAACCATGTTAGGGTATAAAGCTTCTTTTATAAATAAATGACAACAAAAGTCTATCTAATCATGAGCTGATTTCAAAGTCTCTTCATAAACAGTTCAAAACTTACTAGCTAGATGGCATTGAAATGTCTATTAGTCTAGAATAACATAAATAAATTGTGAATGGAAGTATCTCGGAAAGAATGATGAACATAAGCCTACAAAAGTCTCTTCATAAACAGTTCCCTGTTGGTTGAAGAAATCTTAAAAATTGGTTTTTCTTGCCAATAAGTTTGTTTTGGGTTACCTTTCAAGGGTTCCGATGAGGTAGGTACGAAGTTGTAATCACATTTAATGAGCACTTGAAAATTTTTTTAACACCTGTCCTTTAAAATAACCTCACCCCACCATTTGAAAAAGATTAATACCCACTTTTGACAGTTACCAAAATATTTATCAAGTGTTCATTTAACATGTTTACTTTGATGTGCATATTAGATCCGGTCCCGTTGAAGGGATAAATAGAACTAAGTTGCTTATAATGTATCAACCAATAATATAATTGGCATTTCGATGTCCAGGTGATTAAGATTTAATCCATAGATTTCAGACTTAGACGATAAGTCTATTTCATGAATCATGACCAAGTCGAATGGGTTATCATTCTTGTCGTAAACGTATTAGGCTCTTCTCCCCTTCAGTGGCCAATGTTACATATATGCCCAGTAGTCATTTTGCACATTTCTCTCTAATTAGCATAATAGCTACGTATGTTCTTTTTTTATTCAGTTTAAAAGTGTGGATGAAGATCAATTGTTGGAACTGGAAGGTGATGATAGGTAGGTCTCACATAGAATGAGTTATTTGTTGAAAGTTGGTTTATAACACAGTCAGCCTATATAATATATGGGCTGTTAGTTGAAGGATTATTGAATTGAAAGTTAGTTATGAAGAAACGTCTTAGCTCAGTCTTTGTGAAGAATTAATTGGCATGGGTCTGTTATTTGAGGTTCAGTGGATCTCTCTAACCATGAATTCAAGTTTGTCTGCGTTAGCTTCTTGTTATAAGACTTAAGGTATGGTCACCACGTTGCTTAAACTTCAATGAAACAATTATCCCGTGATATTTGGTCAACTAGCTACGCTGCCTCAACATTATTTAGAAATGAAATGCAACGCCCAGTATGGAGGAAGGAGGGGACCTTTTCAGTTTGGTCTCATTTGATGTTGATTTGATTTTGCCAACTCGATCGGTCGGTATTTCAGTAACGCCATATATAGATTTGATTATTATCTTCAACATTCAACTATATGCAATGGACTGATGGTTGGTTTCTTTTTTTCTTCTCGTTAAGGATATTCCAACAGTATCCATTTGTCCAATCTAATAGTCTCAAATTATTCTAAGGCTAAAGCCTTACAGGAGGTATAAGACAGCATCGGGAAAGCATGGTTTTGTCACTCTGTTTTTAATTTAGTTTCTATCTCCTTTTTTTTTTTAAAGCGTTTCTAGCTATCTCATCTTCCTGAATGGTTTTGTTTCTAGATGCAAGCAACAGCTCGGGTAAAATCTGCCCAAGATTGATTTGAGATGTAAACCATTCAACCGGAAACTTGAAATGCTACTGGAAAATGTGAAATGGATTCATGACGTTTTGAAGGTTGCCCTGTTGTCTTGATCATACGGCCTGAGCACTAAACCCTTTATATTTCATTGAATGTTAACCATTGCCAGGAAATGTTAACTGAAAGAAATTGATGAGAGAAATTTTCCAGTTTAAGACCAGTTTTGGTTCAAGAATGGTTTTCAAACTTTTCACTGTAACACATGTTCTGTTATACGTGTGTAAATGAATAATGCACATAAGGTGACACACCTAATGGGAATGTGACAGATTTGAGTGCAGCAGATTATTCAGACAATCTGAGAGTTAGCAGAAATACAAACAAGTACTGGTAATTACCATAAAGCTGAGGCCGTGGGGAAATAGACTCCCGACCAATAATGGAGAGTCTGAGGTCCAGGCAGTCAGCGTTGAATCGTCAATCATATTAAAATGAAACAAATTGTGAATGACCTTACGCCTAGGGAAACTTCATTTTTTTAAATAACCAACAAATTATATTAAACAGTACATACAGTTTTCTGGCATCGCTCAATTGTATATATTATATTATACTACTAATTAAGCATATGTGGTGTATGTGAGAAATTTCATATTTAACTATTTGAATTTTAGATATATCATAGTTAACATAGAAACTGAAAAATAATAAAAATAATAATATAATTAAGGATAAATTAGATCACTGATTCACTATTTAACTAAGAAAATAACTTTACTTTATTGTTAATTAATGAAACTAACTAGATATATCCAAACCCATCTGAAACTACTTAATCTTAGGTCCAATTAGCTATCAATTTCCTGTAGGAGTTCATCAGTTATTTTTTAACTTTTTTTTTTTGGAAATTCCAAATAGTCTGAAACATTTCTAGGTGGATTTCTTGCTTCAGTTCTGTTTTCAATTCAATGAAACCCTGATACAAGGAATAAAAGTATGGAATAAGTAGACTTTCAGATTAATGATTTCAAATAGAAAGCCAGGTATATTCTATCCTATTTAGCATATATCTGAAAAACATTGTTTTATTTTTTTATATAATGCATTAATGTTGTCTTTGTATTTCAAATATGAATTCATACTGTATAAAATATTTGCACCTTCATTTATATTTCATTCTGATTATATATCCTCATTTTCAAACTTGCAGTTGATATGTTAGGCTGTATGTAAATGAAGCTAACTAGATATGCCCAAACCCATATGAAACTACTCAATGTTAGGTCAAATAAACTGTCGATTCCTTGTAGGAACTTAATTAGTACTTCTCTTCCATTTTAACACAAAGTGATTCCTTAAGAAAATTTTACATTTTATTTTCAGCCTCAATCTTCCTTGCATAGGTTTTTGCTAAGAAAACTGGAAAAGATATTCACATACTGATCTCTGCCCGATGTAATCCTTTAACCTATCAAAAAATTGAATTATTTTGCTTATTATTGTACTTTGCATAGTTAACAACACTGGTTCAATTGTTTACGAGAAATAGTCTCCACTATACAAACTCTTAAGTTGCAAATATAGATATTAACCGGAGTTTGCCAGATGACAATCAATTAGACAATAACAAATCTTCAAACGAACCAATCAGAGATTTCCTGACGGGAAGTCCACTCACCCTCCTTACCAACTTGATACATTGAGGTGTTGGGGCTGAATCAGGACCCCAATGCTTATTGTGGTTAATCAACCATTGGTTCAAATGCCCCGTACATCTCACGGGCCATTCTACTAGAAAAGAGACATAAACATAAGATTATCTTTCAAATAGCTTGTCTCCCAGTGGTCTTCCATATTACTATTGATAGCTTCCACCAATCCTATATAGTCGCAAAATACTTGTATAGATATTGATCTTAGGCTGACTGCTTTGTTCAATCCCTCCAATCAACGTCCACCATTCAGATTGGGCTGGAGAAACGGCGAGAATTCTTCTTCCTTCTGCAAAATCAGTTATTAGATTCTTTGATAAAATAACATATGCAATAGCAGTTTCCCCTGATGAGGCCATAAAGGCTCCATCAGTAAACATGATGTGAGTAACTTGAAAGGAAGAGGCCCTTGGGTGGGGTGGGCTTGGATGAATTAATCGTTGCTCATGAATATTTTCATTTTGGCATCCCAAATCAGCCTGCATCCGAAAACTTCATTTGGATAGCATAAAGGTTGAATATATATACTCATGTAAACTCAATAACATAACAAGAACTAAAAATGACAAAACCCCAAATTCCTCAAAAACTTCAAATCCACTCGAATGATGGGTGAAGGCAGAATTCTTTGAACCGATTTTTTTTTCCACTTGAAATGTAAATTTTGGACCTTTTAAGGTCAATGATCAAACAACACATTTATTTAGTCTGTCAATTACAATTCAAAGACAACCTCATATAATCTGTCGATTACATTTCAATAATCTAACTATAATACCGAAAGATATGATACCTAAATAAACTAAACGTCAATGAATAAGTAGAAAATTTTGTAATAACGATTCACGTTCTGCTTGGAATGTATTTCCAAATTCCAATCCATCCATCTGAGTCATCTGACTAAATTCATAAATTCCGATTCCAATCCATCTACTTTTGAAATTCTGCTCCTGCTACGGAATGAAGTGGTCCCAACTTCTGCATCCTAGACTTCCTAGTCTCAGTGCCGCTATGCACTTCCTAGTTCCTACCTGAATGGTGGGGAACGGGCTACCCCCGTTGTCCAGGCTCGCCCCCCACAAAAACGAAGCGAAAACAGATATGCTGCCCTGCTTAACATACTAAGTTTTAAACAAGCCATGAGGCCATACGAACCCCACTACCTGAACCCCCGTAACCACAACACCAATTGTCAAATAGCATGATGAATTAATCATGATATCCCCCCACATCGACATTTCTTCAATCTGGAAGAGCGAAGGAAAAGAAAAAGAAGACGATGAGAGAGGGAGAGAGAGAGAGAGAGAGAGCATGTGTGTGTATTAAATACATTGTCGTAGGGTCCGCCTCTTCTATACAAAATTACAACTGAAAAATAAAATAAAAATCACACATGCTTAGGCATCAAGCATTTACTTGTCCTTATCTCAATAAACGCACAACGTTTCCGAATTCACTCGTTAATTCTTTAAAATAACAAAGAGAGAGACTCGAATCTTTGAGTTTCACAATCTAAGAATTTTTATTATTGGTCTAGGGGATAGGTATTTTAATAGCTTAAACCTGATACAACAATCGTGACCTTCATGAATACTAACCAAATTAAAGCATCAAACACATAGCTGTTTCTGCCCGCATGCGTCCATTAAGATTGAGAAACGAAACATCACAATTTTCACAAAGCAACAACACAGACCCAACCAACCGAAAAATCAAAGCAGAGTGGGTGAAATGATAGAAATCAAATTCTGGGTGCGACTTCCGGTGGGCGGTGGATGTGAATCCTCCTCCATCAGTGTTTGTTGAAGCTCGGATCTTTCACAACGGTTATCGGACAATTAGCATGAGTTATCACATGGTTGGTCACACTCCCCAATAATATCCTACACACCAAACAATTTAACAATTTAGGGATTAGGGTTTTATCGGGGTCAGATTCAGCAGGGGTGAGTTTTTCTTTTTTTTTCACTACAAAAATTAAGAAATTTGATAATTATAATTCGAAAATAAAAAGGAAATTAAATGAATAGAAACCTTTGGATGGTGCCAAGTCCTCTGCTGCCCATAACCAAGGAGTCCAGCTTCAGATCTTCGATTGCTTCGCATAACTTCTCCCTGGCATCACCCCAATACAATTTGGTAACGATGGTTGCCTGCACAAACCCAACAACCCACGTTTATCTTATCCTTGAATATAAAATAAAAACATCATGAACAAAGAACAAAAATAGTTAGGGATAAGTAGATTTTCTGTAAGAAGGTGAAAGGAAAGAAAAGGAAACCTCCTTCTGTCTGGAAGCGGTGTCAAGTATATCTAAAACTTCGGGATCGATTTCGACGTCGTATTTCTTCATCAGCTCGGGAACTCGAAACTCCGTCAACGGAATCAGAGCTGCGGGTACCATACCATATGAATCAGCCAATAAAAATAGGAACCAATAGAAACAATGTACACGAAAAAGAAAGAAATCGAAATAGGAGGCACGGTTTGTGTGTAGTGAGCACGATCTCCGATCTTATTGGTCAGTAGTGATGAGGAAGTAATACTTACGGACACCGCCATTGGCGGAGAGAAGTTTTGCAGCGTCATGGGCTCCGTGGTGTTTGACGTGTATGACAAGGAGCGTATCGCCCTTGTCTAGCAGGTTATCGATGGCCCACTGCAGAGCCCTCTTGCTGCTCTGTGAGAAGTCCATCGCCACCCCTATTCTCCTGTCTCCCGGCATATTCTCTTACTTGCTCGCTCGCTCGCTCTCTCTCTCTCTCTCTCTCTCTCTCTCTCTAACGCGAAAACCACTACCGCCACCACCAGGCACCAACGATACCTATGAAGACACCAGAAGGCGATGTAATTGATGATGGTGGGTCTGAATGGCTTTTAAAAGGGTATCTGACTATTTGCGTCTCTGCATTTATTACTCTCTTTCTCTTTCTCTTTTTCTTTTTCTCTCTTATTCTCTGCTTCTTTGGTTAGTGGTAACCCAGTACCGTGGTTAAAAACTCCGCGTGAAAGGGTAGAGTTGCTGCTTCGTTGCAAATCCCTCTTTACGCATGCGGCATGCATATACACACGTGTAACCAGAACCTGATTGTCACGTGACATCGAAGACACGTATAAGGGAATAGAGGCATAAGGGAGTTAAAGACATGGAAAATTGGATCAGAGGGTGGTGCAGGAGCCATCGATAAGTTTGCTGCGGAAAGCCTGAAACAATGAAGATTGATGAGACGCAAGTACGCCTTTCTTTCACTAGTTGCACTGTTGGCAGGGGTATCAATTGGACCGGATTTGGTCTGATCTAATAAAAATTGATTGTCATTTAGATCGGTTCCAAGTCAAACCTATTACATTGACACCTGTATGTTTATGTTTTTTATTAATGGATCCAATATGATTCACCAATCCAATGCATTAAGTCAGACTGATCCTTATTGATACGTTCAATCCATTTAAATTGGTTTTAATTTGGACAAATTCCAACCCAAAAGCGGTCGATTGATACCCCTACCCTTGCTGAAGGACACCACCCTTGTATTCAGTTCGAAAAATTGGATCCAAAATGCTGATGGCCCAAACTCCGCAAGCCCTACGTTCCCCTCTACATTCCATTTGTGGGTTGTGGCCCGGGTTGGCAACCCACAAGAAAAATCAGCGTGCAGAAAAAGCTTCCTTGATTCTTCCCGTGTCGTTCTCATCGGATGGGAGATGGGATTCTTTGCAACCAAAAGCATTGCACTTTCGCACTCACAAAGCATGGCATCCGGCAGTATAGTGGAAATATCTCGGGTAGATATTTTCAATGTATACTGGGGATGGCAATGGATATAGAATTGATCATATTGCTTCTAGTTCCCGAGAACTCTTTCGATTAACAATTTGGGTAGAATTGGTTATTATTTTTGTTAGGAACCTATTCAGACCTCAATCTGTTTTATTTTACTTAATTTTTTACTATTATATAGAAAAAAAAATTGTGTTAATTAAAAGTTCATTAAAAAATATATTTAAAATAAATAAAAATTTATGGATAATAATATATTTAATTTAATAAAATAAAACAATAAATAATCACGGTCAATGGGCAATAGAGTGAAAGAGGGAGACATGATTTTTGTCCACTTTTTATTTTATATAGTGGAATAATTGTAAATAGTTAAATAATAATCAATTTAAATTTAATAAATAAATAAATAAATTTATAAAATAATTGAGACAAATAGACAATCAAATGATAGAGTAAATATATACACAATTTTGTCTTACTTTGCTAGCAATAATAATTTGTCATATTATTAAATTATTAATCAGTTAAATAATTTAATAAAATAAGTAAATAAATAAATAAAACTTTATGCATTATCAACACAAGATTGGTAAAGGCTATCTAAAATTAATTTATTTATTTATTTAAAGTTGTTAATGGCTCGAGCTGAACTATTAGGCTGCTAAGCCCATGAACAGGATTATCTCGATTCATAGCCCAGCCTAGCCTAAGACTTTGCCCGCGAACTAGACTAGCCTATGGCACGGCACGAACCCATGTGGACTCAAGCTAAAATAAAATTTAAGATCTTTTTAATTTTTTGTCTACTTTTTTAATTTTAAGATCTTTAAAATTTTTAAAAAACATGGCTTAGCCCAGTCTGTGGCCCAGCCTGGCCTTAGACTTGGACCACGGACCAGCACAGCACGGGCCCATGTGGGTTCCAACCGTATATTATATACAATATATATATTTATTTATTATATTTTTTCATTTTATTATTGCATATATAAACAATTGTACACATCAAAATTCATATAAAATAAAATTTTAAGATCTTGTTTAATTTTTTCTTCTATTTTTTAATTTATAAAAACATGGCTTAGCCCGGTTTGTGGCCCAATGATAATTATATAATATATAATTTTATTTTCAATTGTATACATCAAAATTCATATAAAATAAAAGTTTAAGATATTTTTTATTTTTTTTCTATTTATTTAAATTTATTTTAGTTTTTTTCATTTTTTTCAAAATTTTTAAAAAACATGGCTTAGCCCGATTCGTGGCCCGGCCTAGCCTAAGACTTGGCCCGTTGCACGGCATGGGCCCGTGTGGGCTTGAGTCGTATATTATATACACTAATTATATAATATATAACTTTATTTTCATTTTCATTATATTATTTCTTTTTATTATTGTATATATAAACAAATGTGTACATCAAAATTCATATAAAAAAATTAAGATCTTTTTATTTTTTATCTATTTTTTAATTTATGTTAACTTTTTCATTATTTTTTTCAAAACTTTTAAAAAACATAGATTAGTCTGATTCATGGCCCAACCTGGCCTAAGACTTGGCTCGCGGCGCGACACAAACCTACAAGAGCTAGGGCCAAGAGTTGTGTTGGGCCGACCCCCTAAAGTATCCCAAGGGAGGGAAGCATGGCCAACATGGCACAATCCAATACGGTCTGGTTGTAAATAAAATGAGAGATAAAGACAATTTTTAACAAATATGAAAAGGATAGAAATTTGGTGGCATCATTGTAAATATTTAATAGTGCCACCATTGTAAATAATTACATATGAAAGGGGAAAAGGAGGAAGGAGAAGTTATGATTGTTTTTTCTTTTATTCAACGACATCATTGTAATTAATTAAAGGGTTTCTAGCATGTAAGGGCAACTTTTGGAGTTTAATATCAATAAAAGTAATATATTTAAAAAAAATTCAAAAATATGTTAACTTTTTAAAAATAATATCAATAAATGGCAAAAACACTGATCATCTTCTTCTTCTTTCCATTTGTTCACCAGAGCCGCCGCCGCCGCCGCCTCCGCCCACGTCCGCCTCTACCTCCGGCAATGTAGTCGGAGGCAAAGGTGGCGGCAGTGGCACTAGTGGTCATTCCTCTGCCCACCGCCACTACCACCTCTATTTGCTGTCGCCCACCGCCACTTCCGCCTCCGCCTCCGACAATGTAGTCGGAGGTGGCCGGAGGCAAAGGTGGCTGTAGTGGCACTGGTGGTCATTCCTCTGCCCGCCGCCACCACCACCTCTCTCTCCACCCATCTTCGGCAATGTTGCCAAAGGCGGAGGCATTGGACAAAGAAACCACCAGTGCCGCCGATGCCTCCGGCTACCTCCGGCAACGTTGCCAAAGGGGGAGACGGAGGTGGGCGGAGGCGGAGGCGGCGGCTGATGGCGGCTCTAGTGAACAAATGACAAGAATAAGAAGATGAACAGTGTTTTTGGCCTTTATTGATATTATTTTTAAAAAGTTACTCTATTTTTAATTTTTTTTAAATAGTACTTTTATTGATATTAAACCTGAAAAGTTGTCCTTTTATGCTATTACCCCTTAATTAAATTTGTAAGAGTAATTAGGGATGTCCATGAAAAATCGAAAAACTGAGAAACTGAACTCATTTTACCCATGGTTCGGTTAACTGAACTATGAACACCCCTAATGGTAATGGTTAAAAGCAGGGAAAGATTATATGATCATAAGATTTCATTTAGGCTATATAAAAAAAAAATATTCCATTTGAAAAATGCACAGCCTTTGCTTTTAGGTTATATATAAAAATTAGATTTTAGGCTTTAAAAGGTAAATTTTAACATATATAAAGATAATTATGGTTAAAACATATGTTATAATATTTTATTAAAGTTAAATGAAGCTATAAATTGTTATCATCATTAGTAATTATATATGCCAAATATAATTGAGTCTAACGGCATGAGATATGACTATTCCGATGATAAATAATAGTTTTGATTTTAGGATTTTTTTTTTTATAATTCTCAATCGGAACTAGATGAAGAAGGCTTGCCACCGGTGAAACCTTAGGCGCAAGAGTGTTCTATCAACAAAAGATGGGCATGAAACCCTAGACGCCTTCTCTCATAGTGCAGTCCTCAGTTCTTTAAGTCATCTTTTACTATGCTCATATCTCTACTTTCTCATCTCTCAAAGCCAATCATTGTCGTTCCTTTAGCCAGAAAAATGAGGTATGGGTTGCTGCTGCTTTCAATTCGAAGCATGTACTCAATTAGATTTGCTAAAGAAATTGATTTTTTAAAGTTATGAATGCATGAATTTTTCAAAATCAAATCCCTTGTCTTTTCATCTCTTCAAATGGATGCTAGACTTTGAACCTAGCTGGGAGCCTCCAGTGGTGCCAATCTGGATATCTTTGCCTTTTCTCTCGGTAAATATTTTTGTTGAAAACATGCTTACATCTATTGCTTAAGCTATTAGTCATGTTCTCAAGTTCGATTATGCTACAATTACGCTCTCTAGAACATCTACGGCTTGAGTCTATGTCGAATTTGATTTTTTGAAACACCACCCTTATAGGGTTTCGATTGGTACTGGTTGTATGGATTTCTGCTAGGAGATTATTTATGAAAACTTCCCTTCCTATTGCATAAAGTATAAACTTGTACAAGATAGGGCATTCGATTAAGGAATGCAAACATGGCAAAGCCAGACGTCGAACTGATGAGAAAAAACCTATTGATGATTTTTTGAATTTTGAAGAAGGGCAAGCCTTGTACCAAACCTACGGTAGAACAATATGTTCCCATTGCTAAGCCTAAGATTAATGATGATGAGAAGACTCGAGATGAGATTGCTAATGTTGATAATAGTGCATCTGATCTAGATGTAAAGATTTGTGATGGGGGTGGGGCTCTAATCGGTGGGACAATCCTAGATATCTCTGATGAGGCCAATTGCAACACCCCAATCGAAGTCCAAGTGCAAAATATACCACAGAAATGGACAATAATTCTATTCTTGATTTGCATCAAGAGCTAGTTGACCTTTTGGTTGAGGGGGAAGCCCAAGAATCTATAGAGTTTGTACAAGCAGTTGTAGATTTAGATGAAAAGGAGCATGTGATGACTCATTCTA